GTGAACCGGCGGCACTATCACTCGAGCTTATCGGAACATTAAATCGCAAGATCGTAAATTCGCAGGGAGGGTTCGGGATGCGTTCGCGGTGTTAAAATTGACAGTCCCGTTGTGTGCTCAAGGACGCCGGGCGGGAAAGCACCTCAAGAAGCGGGACAGGCACGGCGAGGTGAGAAATGGGATCCGAGACGGAGACGGATCCTTCGCCGTCGCGCGTTCACAATTACAGGGTTGCATCGTAGGCAGGAGGATCGGGTCCATGTCACCCCTCGCTTTTGCCATGCCGAAGACCTGCACGCTTCCCGGCTTTGGATGTAACCCGGCCCAGTTTTTTATTGGAACCGATCGGCCGGAGCGGAGCTAGACGTTTGGGGAGGATCCGTCTTGAAGGCTCGGCATCAACGGGAGGGCAGCACGTCGCCAGCCGGGAGGTGGTGGGGGCGGAGAGAAGAAAAAGGGGTAGAGGAGAGCCAAAGCGTTGTCTACGTCGGGAACAACAACATTTCTGACTCGAGCCAAGTTTGTCGGACTCGCTCAAAAGAGCAGAAATGGCCCCAAAACTTGTAAAGAGCCGATGACCAAATCAGGCAAGGTCGGAAAGGGATCGACGTTTCGTCCTACCCCTGACGGGATTTGAAATCAGAGCTGGGAGGCCCCCAAACGCTGCCTCGGACTTATATGCAAAGGATGTAATTAACCCAACCAAAACGACAGACACGCACCTGCAAGCCTCCCACATTGTTCATTGGCCGGTATTTATGGACGGCGGACACAGCAATACGAAATATATATAAGTACTGCCTCACTGGGACATACCTATAGAGATACTGTCGCCCGTTGTCCAGCCCGGAATGAGCTGAAGTCGGCAAATTCAACCTTGCGCTACATCCATCTTTAACACTTGGTGTCAAGAGCGCACTAATTAAAAAAAGACAAAGTTTGGCTCAGGATGATCGAAACCACGGTACAATATTTGACTACCGGTATGGAGACCGCACATACTGATAGTAATCCTAATCCAGATACAGCCACCATGCTTCCGGGTAGTTAATCAACCGTCTCCAAAATCCTCTTTTAACTCAAGTATTACCCATCATATTAACATTGGAGTTGAAGCTATGGTAAAAACACAACAAAGCCCTCTGTTCCGGCCCCTGTTAAAGCTACACCTCAAGCTAGGCACAGGTAACTACCATGCTACACTGATTACACGCGGGCTCAGAAGCTTCTGGTAATGCAAAAGCTGATTGATGTAGGGCATCCAAGGAGAAATATTAGTCGTTCTTCAATGTATTGTGTATTATGGCCATTGAGGAATCATTCGCTTTCACTATCATCATCATCGGTAGGCTCAACCGCTTCTGTGATGACCCCAAGAGCAGCCATACCATACCCTTCTTCAGGATACTGGAACGGGGAACCTTGATTAGTAACACACTCCCAGCAATAATCCGGCGTGACATGGAATGGGTGGCAAGATGCGTACCTGGGTGGCATAGAAGCCAGTAATGGCCGTCCCCGGAACAGCCGAGACCGTTCTAGTGCTTGTCGCTGCCCGAAACTCGGGATCAGAATTTGAAATGAGGCATGACCTCCCGCGGTTGGTTTGGAGCTAGATGGTGATGAAGGCGGTGGGAGCGAGTGAGCGAGCGAGCAAACAAAACGCCGGCCAACTTGAATTGCGGGCAGAAGCAGAAGCAGCAGGGGAGAGGGAACAGGAAAACCGGGGACAGAACAAACCTTGAACCACCCCATCAACCCGTGTTCCACATCCCAGCGCTGTCCCTCTTCGTCCTGGCAGAACCAATGGCCAATCTCAACCGCCTCAATACGTTCCCCGCCGGCCCCGTCAACCGAGAACTCAACGACACGGCGCCCAGGCTCCGACAACCTCCCCAACCGCCCCAACGACTGGCACTCGACGGGCACATTTTCTCCCCCGCTGAAGAAAAAGGCAATGGTATAAATGTCGTCCCTCCCACTCGTCATTACAACCCGCGTGAGGTCGGGGAGGTACTTGCCCCCTGGGCCCCCGAAATGGCACCAAATCAGGGGGTTGTATTTATATTGGGAGACGAAGTAGGCGCGGGCCGGGAAGAATACGTCCTGGTTGAGGCAGAGGTGTGACGAACCTACTCCAGGATCCTATCCTGTTAGGGTTCAGTGAAGGTAATCTTGCAAAGGATGCTTCGGTTCGGTGCAGCCAAAGGGTGCACAACAATAGACTTGTTTCAACAGTAGGCTTGTGAGCTTGTAGCGGACTGTAGTTGTGATTGCTAACTGGAGAACTCCCAGAGCTCTCCAGGACGAGTGACTATATACTATCTAGATCCTAGGTATCTCCGTACCTCTTCCTTGGGGAACGCGAGGAACGGTGGTCGTTCCTCTCGTTCCCTTATAGGAACCTTGGGAACGGTAGCCGTTCCCCCCGTTCCTCTCCTGATTGGTCTGGGACCCATTCTTAATGATTGGCTGGGGACGCTTCCCGTGCGCCCCCATCGGGACCCTGCATGCGGCCATAACCGTGACAAGAGGGTTGATGGGGGGACGTCTGGGTACCAGAGCGCGTCGCGCCACAGGTCGGCGTCTGCGTAGGCGGGCCCGATGGCGTCCGCCGGCGGCGACAGTGGTGGCGGTGACGGTGGCGGTGACGGTGGCGGTGACAGTTCGACGTTGATGGCAAGGCTGACCATTTTGTAGCCCTACGTGCACATTAGTATGCGTGCGTGTGTGTGTAAAGCGATATGCTCGAAAGAAAGTAAGGAACAACGCAGTCACCCAGCTAAAACTTACATCAAACGCGGCCTTCAACTCCACAACCCGCCCCTCGCCAGCAGCAAGACGCTCCGTCCGGGGTACCCCCTCAGGCGACCCCAGCCAGGGCAACAACACACGCTCGCCCGCCGGCCCCCTCACCACACACCGCAACCCCCTCACCCTCCTGACTCCCACGGCCACACCAAACCCCACCAACCCCCCCGCCTCAAACTCCACAACCCGCTCCCCACCACCACGACAACACGGATGATACCCCAACCTCACCCGCTCCCCCCCCTCCCCCTGCAGCACCAACCCCGCCACATACCCCTCCCCGACCCCCTCATCATCCTCCCCACTATTATCCACCTGCCCCGGCACCCGCGCCATCACCACGCCGACGCTGACCAAGTCCCGCGGCACGCCCACCTCGACGCGCCGGCCCGCCAGCTCGCGACAGCCCTTCTCAAAGGCCGGCGGCCCGTCCTCGCGCGCCGCGGTCGGCCACACGTGCGCTGACACCGGCTGCAGGCGGGTGGTGGTGGTGGTGTGCTGTTGGTTTGGGTTGAGGGGGCGTTGCCAGGGGGAGGGGGGGGGTCGGTTGGTTTTGTTGTTGTTGTTGTCGTTGTCGTTGTTGTGGTTGGGGAGATGGATGGGGGGTGGTGGTGGTGGTGGTGGTGGGATCCAGTGGGTGTGGAGGAGGGCAAGGAGGGATTGGAGGAGGCTCCAGATGCGGACGCGGTCGCGCAGGCTCCGGAGGGTGAAGGCGGAGGGGGAGGGAGCTAGGTTGGTGATGTTGGTGGTGCGGGTCCGGTGGTAGAGCCAGCGCCAGTCGATTGCGGTAGCTTGTTGCTGGTGGTGGCGGCGTGCTTCGAAGAGCCAGCCGCGGTCGGGGGATGCGGTACGAAATCGGGAGGCCCAGAATTGCTGGCTGTGGAAGATAGGTTGGAGGGCCCGCGAGGCGAGACGGGCGCGGAGGACGTCGGCGGTGGGGAGGTGCATGGCGATGGCGATGCGCAGCTCCATGGGGATGGCGGCGAAGGGGTTATATGTGTCCTGCTGTGGTGTGGTAATGGATTCTCCGGTGGTGATAGCAGGTCTGTGGACGGGAATGGAGGGCTGGGGTGGCTCCCCAGGTGCCTCGGTAAGGATATGGGCGATTTCGACGATGCCGTATGGGTAGCTGTACAAGCTGGGGTCGTCCCGCGACAGCCGGTTCTTAAACGCGTATTCCCATGGGAAGTACGTGTAGTTCGCCCTGTCCTCGATGATGGCGTTGTAATAGTCGTGGTCCCGGGTCAAGGCACCGAAGCGGATGGGAGCCGGCTGTGACTGGCAGATCTCGAGCAGCCGCGAGAGTGGGACGGGGACCGGCGACAGGGCTTCCTCCAGTTGGTCCCAGCAGGCTTCGTGAAAGACATACTAATCTATGGAGCCATTCTGTCTTTCGATGGCACCGATCTCAACCAAGGGGAGGGCGTGATAGCCTTCATCGCTCCAGCGCACGTTGCTATCCGGAGACGCGATGTACAAGTCCGACACGGGGTCTCGGTGTATGCCGACACCTGTGAGCACGGTGGTGTTGGATTCGGTGTCGGTATGGACTGCATCAGGGTCAGTTCCATTACTTTTCAATGTCACAAGACCGACGTCGTCGTCGACATGGAGGCAAAGGCTGCGCCCGGCTTACGCCCCCGAAACTGGTTTGACCATCTTTGAGGAGGTTCCAACTCGTCATCAGCGTCCAGTAGTACGGTCCGATACGCCGTCACTTTCCACCCACACAGCGCACAGCGGCAACCAGGTTTGTCCCGTTCCCTCCCGTTCATTTCCAATTTTCCCTTTTGGTGGCTGGGTTCGACCGGCGCCGGACAGCTTCACGTGTAGGTAGCAGAGGTTTGAAAACAAGCTTAACCGAGACGGTTCCCAGTTGTCGCAAAGCGGGGCGTTAATGGCCCAAACAAGACGTTGAATTCGGTACGTTAACTAGGTAGGCAGCGTTGGATTGGTTAGATACCTAAGCCTAACCTAATTCCGACAGGATATAAATATATCTATAATACAAGAAAGTTAGTTGTCTTAGCAAAGCTACTGACTTACCTATACAACTGTCAGCAGCTAATATCATAGCTGTTAGTTCCATGTTAAAAAGGACAACCTCGGTAGGTATTAGTTGGGCAGTTTCCACATTTGCATCTGCCTTGGTAAATCAACAAACTTTCGCGGTCCTCCACCCCGTTCCAGCCGACGTGGCGCAATCGGTTTAGCGCGTCAGACTTTTAATCCCCCATTGAGAGATCTGAATGTTGCGAGTTCGAGTCTCGCCGTTGGCGTCCTTGTTTCTCGAAACGGACACCAGAACGCATCTTGGCTTTTTTGGCTTCCAAAACTGGTGAACTGCAATTTGCCATGTCTTTTTTTTTTGCTTTCACCACACATGAAAACAGGTCACGGGGTTGAACCCAACTGCATGTTCTCAACAACTGAAACTAAGGTAGATATCTAACCTCAACTTTTACAACAACCTCCATCACTACCACTACATAACAAACAGAACAACCAAATGCCCATCATCAAACGTCGTCAATTTCATCAGCCGCCCAAAGTAAACCTAACTGTTGGAGCAAGAATACCATGTACATGTACACCCAGTCCAGTCATGAACCCCACCGCCACGGGCACGTCGGCCCGCACCGCACCGTCAAAAAAAGAGCACCGTGATATAATATCCGCTTCCCAACCCCGGGCCCGTAGCCAATCCGAACCTATCCCACAGCCATGTACTAGACTGTACCGCCGTGCTGGGGTATGCCGTATCGTGATGTAGATATTAAAGGAAAAAATAAAAATAAAAAAATAAAACAAAAAGGAAACCCGCTGACCAATGCAAGAAAAAGACAACAACCGACGACACACATCGGTCCCCTCACAATCACCTCACACACCCGCGACGGGCTACTCCGCCGGCACAGCAATCTCCTCCGACACCAGCGCCCCCGGCTCCTTCGGGCACCTGACACAGCGCACCTCCGCCGCCAGCCCCCCCTTATAATCCACCAGCCGAATCTCCAGCTCGCGCATGACCACCTCGCGCAGCTCCTGCCTCCGCGGGTCCTCGCTGGTGGCGGCGCTAATCTCGCACACCAGGTCCGCGGGCAGGGACAGCACCGGGTACTTGGCCAGCAGCAGCTTGGCGGTCTGCAGCAGGCTGACGGCGACGTCGGGCAGCTGGGGCTGGTCCCACACGCGGCGGATGAGGGCGACGGCGGGCGGGTTGGGGCAGTCCTTCCCGCCGGTGGCGTCGGCGCCCTTTTCGAGGAGGAGTTTGAGGATGGCGGGGTTGGGGTTTTGGCTGGCGCGGTGCACGTAGCTGGATTTGGATTTCGGGGGGATGTCGGGGAGGGCGTAGCGTGAGAGCATGTCCTGGATGATCTCGACGCGGTCGTCGCGGATGGCGAGGTCGAACGCGGTGAGGTAGCGTCGCTTGACGAAGCGCCACTCGTCTTCGTCCTCTTCCTCGCCGAAGAGCTTTTGGAGGAGTTCGTCTGAAGGGGTGATGAACGGGTCGGCAACTTCTTTCATGAGCGCTACCGCTATGGACACGTAGTTTTCGCTCACGGCAACCGACAATGGCGTCTGTAGGTCCCGGTCGAAGACGTCGACGTCGGCTCCACGGTCCAGCAACGCCCTCACCACCTCCACGTCACCCCAGTGGCACGCGAGATGGAGATACGTTTGGTCGCCGTGGAACCTAGGCTCGCTGATGGAAAGTCCGCGGGCCATGACCGCCAGGCTCAGTTCCCGGTTCTGCTGCATGATGGTCTTGAGCAACAGCATTTCGTTGGTGTAGACCGGTCTCCCAAAGTCCATCATGCAGTTAAACGTCTCGATCTGGTTCCACGGATCGCTCTGTTCGATGATACGGCACAGGTACTCCTTCACATCGGCATCGGCCACCTTATACACCCTGTCAGCAAAGTCAAGGAGGAGCTTTAACGCCTTATGGTTTCCGCACGAAGCGCAACTCTTCAGGGCCTCCTTGAGCTTCGTCTCCGTGAGGTTGGTCTCGTCGGCAGCGGTCAGCATCGCCTCGAGGACATCGTCCTCCGCCCAACGGATGTGTTTGATGGCGGTGTCCAGAGGGCTGCAGTTTGGCTCCTCTTCGATGTCCATGCGGGCGCCGCGTCGCAGCATAATCGAGGCGATCTCGGGCACTTCACCGCGATGGTCAACTCGTATGGTCACCGCATAGCACAGTGGAGTTCGCCCGTTGCGGTCTTGCGCGTTGATCTCGGCGCCGCACTGGACGAGCGCGGCAACGGCTCGGGGCTCGGCCAGCTCGCAAGCCAGCATGAGCGGGGTCACGCCACGGTGGCTACGCTTATCAAATTTGGCATTCACGTCAGCCCCGCCATCGACCAAGGCCTTGATCAGCGTGACCCGGTTCCCTTCGAACTCGTCGTGCTTCACCGGGGCATCGTCCATATCGAAAAATTCGGATCGCTGCAACATGCAGTAGTACAGCGGCCGGTAGTCGCGGAAGTTGGGGATGTGCCGGTGGGGGTCGGGATTCGCGCCGATGCTGACCAGGCGGTGAGCTACAGCGTAGTTGCCCCTGAAGCATGCGTTGAGGAGCGGGGTATAGCCGTTATCGTTATGGGCCTCCAGGTCGGCGCCTAGGGCAAGGAGTTTTGTGATGGTGTCGCGAATGTCGGCGGAGTCACGCGCGCTCCAGATTTCCGAGACGTAGTGCAGCGCCGTATTACCCCACTCATCGCGCTGGTTGACGTTGAGGTTGAGGTCGTTTAGCGCAAGGAGTTTGATGACGGGGATCAGGCCGTGGGCGGCGGCCGAGTGAAGGGCCGTGTGCCGGTGTTCGGGTTTGGTATCTAGCTCGAGCGATGCGCCGCGGTGGATGAGCAGCTCGGCCACCGTTCGCTCCTGGCTGCACATGGCGGTGTGTAGGGCGCGCCAGCGAGGCCATTCCGAGAGGCGGCGCGACGGGTGCCGCCCGGACTTGAGGGACTGGCAATCGCAGACCCGGTATGATGGGGCGTCGATGTCGGCGCCGTTGTCGAGGAGCCATTCCACAATCTCCCGATGGCCGTTCTTGGCTGCCAGATGGAGCGGGGTGCAGGATGGCTGGATGGTTGGGTCGGGGGGTTCTTCGAACAGCTCGGGGGCGGGGTCGGCATCAGCATTCCCGTCGACGTCATTATCGGTCTCGGTGGTTTCTGTCTCCCCAGCCTTGCGCGGTAGCGGCCCAGAGGCATTCAAATCGGCGCCTGCGGCCAGCGCATGCTTAAGGGTGCCCAACTGGCCGTTCTCGGCGCCCCAGTAGAGACACGAAGAAGCGGACAACTTGACATTATCGCGATACAACACGGGATTGATGACGGAGTAGAACCATCGGTTTGTTCGTCCGAGAGCGAGGCGGTCTTGCTGATCGAGCAGCTCGTCGATGAGGAGGACGATTTCGGGTGGAAGACCTAGGACCGGCACTGACAGTGCCTTCTTCGCTTTGCCTTTGCAGGCCTTGCCGTCGGGCTTTTTTGTTTTCGCTTTAGCCACGGGCTTTTTGAGCATTCCTGCTTTTCTGTGTGAAGCCATCCGGATGAGAGGGGGGGTATAGGAGGATGGATAGATGGATGATGGCGTAGGTGGAAAGTGAGCCCGGGCGGTTGTTGAAGCCGAAGTTAGGCTGGGATTATAGCTCAGGAAGCGCTGGAGAACAGGCGGGAAGCCGCGGGGCGTTTTTGTGGGGCTGCGGAGGGCGATGCAGCTGGATTAATGGATTCTCCACTGCCAGGCGGCCGGCGGGACATGCACCCAGCCTCGCCCCGGGCTGGCGACCTCCCAGAACATTCACCAAAGCAAGGAACAAGCCTGGAATGCGAGGTTGGTCAGGCAGGCTGGCAGGCTACGAGGCCATTTTCGCACTTTTCCGTCACATAACAGCAATCAAGTTGAGGATCACTGTGAAGGCGATTGCTTCGATTCGTCCAACTGTTCAGTCTCAAGTTGCCGCTTTCCCCGCTAGGTGGCCTGCCCGCCGTCCCCCTCCGCAGCCGCCGTGATTGTGCATAACGGGGCCCCTTTGCAGGCCGCTCCATCGCCGCTGTTCGCGCCGGCGGCCTCGCCACTCGCCTTCCCGGCTGTGCCACCCAAAATCGGACGAAAAGAAATCCACAAAAACCATCACGTCGGATTGGAGTACTGGCACTGACTGAGAATCCCTCGCTTTGAACCTGTCGCCATCGATGGAACAACTGTGCCCATTCAAAGCCAAAATCCAAATGCGCAATTCCTGTCGTACTCTGAAGGCCCGCCATCTCATGACCCAGAGCCCCACTCTTGGAGCCTGGAATTGCAGATTGAGATGTCTCGATTAGGCTTGGGGTCATGCACGCCAGGGACAACTCACTTCTGAGGGACGCTTCAAATAATTTCCAACTTGCGTGATGAATCCTCCTCGGGCTTTCAGTGCTTGGCTCAGATAAGAGCTTTCGCTCCCTAGGCAGACTGATCTCGAATGCGCCAAGCCATGGGAAATCTTGTGACTGCACATCAAGGCTGTCTCTGAAACAACGACCACAGGTCTGCATGTGCCTTCACATCACATATGTATCGAGACTCAGATATGCGGGGTTCCGCCGTGTCACAAATGTCGCTTGGAGACTTTGCAGGCTACACACCAGGTGACAGCAGTCCATATAATTCCGAGAACCCCCGCGGCCGGTGCGCGCCCTGGCGATCTGCGCTACACCAAGTGGCTCGACTTCGTGATCCTAACTGACCAGCCCGTGGCTCTCCGCTACGAAGCATACTACTGGATTCCCGCCGACAGAGAGCCATGGCCCTAACGCTTTTATGGCACCCAGAACCAGAGCTCCGTGATGGCCGAGCAGCGATGCTACCGAGCGGAGAAGTTGATGGTGGACCGAAAAGGAGGACATGTAAACAAGGCCCGGCATAATGGAGAAGGACGGGATCCGTGATTTGTTACTGTTGATGGAACCCAGCCATCCACGACTTGGCAAGCCGCGTTGGTGAGGCGTTGTTAAACCCCAAGAAAACGACCAACTGGGCACTCTAGGCTCTTGTCCATGGGTTAAGAGGTAGCTAGTAGCATCTCTAAGGAAAGGACAGCATTGTGACAATATCGCGGCAGGCTTGAACATACGGAAAGCAATGGGACGGTAACAGGCCCGTACCGCATCCGGCCATGGCATTATTTTATGGGAGATCCGATATCTTTCGTATCCCTCCCGAATCGGGTTTCCCCCCTTTACCACTTAGCCTCCGGGCTCTCGAGGAACCCCTTGAGGATGCC